AAACTAGGTCTTATTTTTTGAAAACCTACAATATTTATGAATTTATGATTTCACGTACTCTTGAGGTCACCATAGTAATCAGAAAAGGAAACTGTAGCAATACACAGAGGAAAAATTGCTTACAGTAGATTAGGAAAATAAGAGTTTGGATTAAGTATTCTAAAAATCATCATATGAACTCAGTAGTGCAGCTCTGATAAATATCCATGAAATATTAATGAGTAAATACCTGATGGAAATGCTCCTCCGAAGAACATATTGAATAAATCCTCTGGAGTAATATCAGCCTCACAACCTCTGTGGAAATTAAATCTACCATTGCCAGGGTGATTGCATGCTTGCTCTTCACTGCCTGTAAGGTCATATTGCTTTCGTTTTTCTGGATTGCTCAGCACAGCATATGCATTTCCAATCTCTGAAACAGGGAACACAGAGTGCTCACACAAATGAACAATAAGAGCTGTTCTGTAATTACAGTTGTAATTTCAGTCAAGAACTTGCTGAACATTAGCATCATTCATAGGCGATACTGTACGTTACAAAATCAACTGCAGTGGAACAGGGTGTCCAGAAACATCTCCAGTTTCCTACTCCCTCCAAGGCCCTGCATCATGGTAAAGTAGCTATAGAAGGCTGGACAGTTACGTTTACATCTTCAAAGGAACGTCTTCATCTGCTGAAATATTTCCCCCTCGTTGCAATTTAAAAAACTTAGCTTTAATGTGAACTCAAAAGTCAGGTAATTGCAAACATTTGGCTTGATCCAACAACATTAGCTCTACCATGCAGCGTCTTCTGTATATTTTATGGGTTATATTAATAGGAATAATACATTAAGATTTACATTCAATAAGAGAAAGACAAACAGAAAATACTACACATGCAATATGAGAGTTAATATTAGTGAATCTACCTTCACTTTTGGAATTACCTGACCTGTGTGTGCTTGATCTTGGTAACTGAGGTGCATGTAGAGCCATATTTTTTTACACTGTCATGTGACACTGCTGGCAGTGCTGCTTTTAAATGACAGACCAAGCTACAAGAGATTACACGGAAACCCTGCTGTAGGACACACACTTCACATACAGTTATCAGGGTTACTCCGCCTCATGGTAAAGATGGTGGTGAGAGTTTGACATCCTCAGTTGTGGAGAGAAATTAGAAAGAAGTCAGTCAGCTCATAACAAATACACATGAAGAAAACTTATTGCAAAAAATGTTTTAGACAACTTTTTTTTTTGCTTATGTTGTGCCACGAACGATCACAAACTGCTAATAACTGATCATAGCAATTCAAAAAGTTGTGTTTTTTTTTTATAAACAGAATTTAGAGGAAATAAAAAGACAACGTGATCAATGTTCTTAAAATAAAAAGAATAGGCCCTTGGACAACTTAGTAAAATATGTTGTCTGGCAGTATTCCAGAGACTGATCAAATGATACTTCTGAAATGTTAAGAAAAATACACACTTCTATTAAAGCAGTCGGGACTCCAACATTCCCCTGCACCATTTTCAACCCATACACTGAAGTAATGTGCATTTGCTGAAGAACCAGAAGACGAGTAATTTCATTTAAAATGTGCAACCTGAATGAAGAGTGAAATAGTGAAAGTTTGATTTTGGAAATCTCCAAGTTAATACACCGGATCCCCGCTAGAATGTAGGGTTCGGGATCCATGCGTTAACCGTGTTATAGCAGGGGCCGTGTTATCATGGATCCCAATTTAAATGTTTAAATTTGGGATCCATCACCACACCCACGCTATATGCAAATACGCGCTCTAGCGAGGGTCCGCTGTACTTGAAAGTATTATTAGTCACAAGGTGAAAAAATTTAAAACAATTTTTTAAATTTGACAGGGACCTTTTAAAACAAATAATATAATGTATAGAATAAAGTTTAGCTATCAAAAACATGTGTAATTATATTAATTATTAGCAATTAACTTGATTGCTATGAGTAATCTATTTCCCATCTTAAACCCTTAATGTGTCATAATTAGTACTCTTGGGCAGGGCTACACAGAAAGTTTTGTTCAGGGCTTAAACTAGAAATAAGAGCCTTGTTTTGTGTTTTGATTTGTTCCATCATCAAAAGACCATGTAAAATGAAAGAAAAATACCACAGTTAGATTGCACTTGAGAAAAACAATTATTTCTGAAAAGTTCACATTTTCCTTCAAGTATGCATGCAATATTAAAGGATGCTTTTTCGCCAAAACCTTTCCCATCAGCAATTTAGCCTGATCCAGGAGAAATCTTGGCAGTCCTAGCTGTCTGGATATTAAACTGAGCTAGGGATTGGTCAAAAGGCAGTTGGAATTTGGTCCATTTTGAACAAATCTGTTTTTGTCTGAAAAAAGAGTTATACGCACAAAACTCTAAGAAAAAGGTAACAGCATATCATGTGACTGAATGAAAACTGCACTTTGATGCAAACTGCTTGGTTTTTTCTAAACCTCCAATAGCAAAGGCACAATCAAATTTATACCTCCTCAAACTGCACTGGCATTAAACTAAGCATGAACTTTCTTGATGTGATTTTGCATAGTCAGTCTAGATGCTTGGAATGGCAAATGTCAGTGTTTACACTGAAAAACAAATTACTTGTGTTCATAAGATAAATTAATTATATTAATTAATATGTTAACATTATAAAACTTTTGTTGCCAGTATAGATATATACTAAATAATGCAAATCCGTCTCTCATTTTGTGTTCTTTTAAACCAGGATGCGACAAGATAGAAATATCTGAAAACATGGTTTTGTAACAGCTATCACCAGTATGTACTGTTCTTACTCTGAAACCTGTTCTTACTACAAATGCCCCACGGACCAAAAGCAATGGTATATATGTAAATGTTACGATGGCATTAGTATGCAAAATCATGTAAAATGTCTTCATATTAAATTAACCATTTTGCTTTATTTACATGCATACACTGAGATGTCCCTTAATTTATACATACGACCAATCATTTTCTGAAAAAGTAATTATTTAAGGGCCCTTTTTGACCTACACAACAAACTGCTGCTTGGTCCATTCTATGCAGATAGGATTAATCAGTTCTAAACCACTGTGCTTTAACACAGCTACTTCTGTACAGTAGATGGGCCCCATATATTCTAAAAGGCTTTCTCCATGTACAAAGTTTAATTATAAAAACTTTTACTTTTAAAAGCATCTGTTGCTCCAGGTGCATGGTTTTTGTCTGGATGAAATTTCAAAGCAAGCTTTCGATAAGCCTTCTTCAAGTCTTCTTCACCTGCATCTTTTGACACTCTGAGTACTTCATAATAATTTTTACTTTTCTTTATACTGCAGAAAAGAATAAGCAAAAAGATTTCAAAGATCTAAATACAATACAGTTGAATATAACTGCAAACAGAGAAGTCACTGCAGACATCAAAATTAGTTTATATAACTAAAGATATTCTATAAATTAATTTATAAAAATTGCACCTTCTCGCACAAAGGTTATTTTGCTGTGTACACATTATTTAGTGCACTCAGAGATTATTCTTTTTAATCCTTTTTATGCTATGAAGCTAATACAACTGTAAGAGAGGGAACTGGATTCTGTTCTGGCTTGCACAACTTCCACAGAATCAGAGAATCTTTTTTGCTAATGCTGCCATCAATCAGAAATAACCCAATTTGACTTAGCAGGATGGGTAGTCAGAAAAATATGTTTTTATATATAAACAGAAGATCTGATTTGGATATCCATTGACAGAAAATATCAATGCGCTTAAGCAATTACATGAGATATTTTGATAGACAGGCATACATGTGGATCCCAGAAACCTATTTTACTTCTATAAACTGCTTGCATAAATCCAAAGAAATAATAAATAAAATAGCACTAATCCTATATCCTGATGACCTAGAATGCTTAACATTGCATTAACTCTACAGAAAGCCTTAACAACTTTGATACTTAAAACTTTGTTTCATCCTGTAATATCAGGACAATGATGTAATAATTTGCTGCATTTTAAAACACCCAGAAATGAGGTGGAGACAGAAGCCACAGGGGACAGACAGCACCCTAAATCCATGGGAACAGGAAGGTTTGATCAAAAGCAGGGCATTAATTTTAAATCCAAACTGAATTATGGGGGAGAGAGTTCAGAAACAAAAGTAAAGTATTTTGGAACTGCAGGATTCTCCCGTATAACTAAACTAGCTGGGTTTGCCAATGTTGCAGTACATTGACATTTGGTGCAAGCAAAAAACAGAAAAGTTAATGCCCAGAAATTAAATAATAAAGCATCCCAGGGGCCTCCTGACTAGTAGGCAGCAAGATGGCTAACATTACCATCAGACTAAGGGGTTGCCTTTAGGGGTTTTATACCACTATAAATGTATGGGAATAAGATAAGCACCTTCACCTTCTGTAAGAGTATCCACACTAGGAGTTTGTATCGCTTTAAATATGCCAGTTTCTAAAGTGATAATGCCATAGTGCTCCAAAAGCTCCAGCCCAAACAATCATCAAAATTGAATAGGTATAAAGGTAAGCAGGCCTTTGGCTGGCTCACAAAATGAAGAAATTTTATACAGGAATGGGAATTCTACAATTAAAAGTATGCTAGCCTAAGAAGTCAGGCCAGACCATTTTACAAGATATTGTTAAAATCACAGATTGATCAAGTGGTGTCTCATTCAAGGGATCATTTTTCCTGTGTTTAAGAAACTGAGTCCGTGCTTAGGCATGATGACCACAAGAGCATTTGCCTTAATTTCTGAATTCGTTGTTTCCTTTGAAGTCTTCAGTATCTGGATTACTTTTATTATGAACACAACTTGAAAAACACGTATTGGTACACTATATGGTAATGAATGACCACGAATTAACAGTGTTTGTTAGTGTTAAAAAAGTTATTAAAAACATCTGAACACTCCAATGCCATCCAACTAATATTACTCACCCCAAAAAATCTTTACAGCATACAAAAAATTCTCATAGAATTAAGACAAAACACACAGGTTTAGTTGTTTAAAAACATTTAGCTTCAATTCACACCAATTGTGTATGACGTAAACAGACAGAGAAATGAAAAACTGTACATTGCCAACGGCAAAACACTTGTCCCAAACCAAAGAGGTCTGTACTAACACGTCAATTGTTTCACAAGTTAACTGTAAGTAACTTAGTCTTTCTCGTTAAGGTTAATAGTATCTAAACAACACTTCACATCAGCAAAAAACTAACAAATGTACAATTCATGTTCCTCAGAAGTCTGGCTGTCACGCCAAGAGAGAAAGGGTGGTGAGGTGAAGGGTGGGATTGTTTTTCTGAGAGATTTCATGGAGTTCTTTGATGGAGTTTGAGGATATCACAGCTGACACTCCCCCACAGGACAGTTTTAAATCAGGTGGACTTTGATGCCTGTCCAATTTATAACTGCTGCAGGAACTTTTTCATAAAGTCTAGCAGGGTTTTCCTCTGTCACTTTTCTCTCGAAAAGCAAATATTGCAGCTTCTAACTTGCACTGTTCAGAACGGTGGTTCTCAATCAGGGGTATGCATACCCCTGAGGGTATACAGTGGTCTTCCAGGGGGAACATCAACTCATTTAGATATTTGCCTAGTTTTACAACACGTTACATAAAAAGCATTAGCAAAGTCAGTCTACAACCTAAAATTTCATACAGATGACTGTTTATATACTATATACTATGTTCTATATACTATACACTGAAATGTAAGTACAATATTTATATTCCAGTTGATTTATTTTATAATTTATGGTAAAAATAAAAAGTAAGCAATTTTTCAGTAACAAATTTTGTTGCTTACAAAATAAGACATAAAAGTAAGTAGTTTTTAAATGAGGTATAACTTGGTGGCATGCAAGACAAATCAGACTCCTGAAGGAGTCCAGCAGTCTGGAAAGGTTGAGAGCCACTGGTTTAGAAGTCAACATGATTGCTGAAAACTTCACATTTCTAACAACTTAATTAAATAAATGTTCCAATTTCTTTGCTTGTTTTTTTGTTTTAATCCACGATGAACACTCCTACTTCCATTTTCAGTTCGTTTTCTGACCTAAGCAGTGACAATAATTTGTAACATTATCTGTTTAAACCCTTTTATCTATGTTCTTGTTCATCATCTGCACTAAGACTGCAAAATGGTCTCTCTTTTCACTGAGTTTGCAGAAGCAGATGAAGAAAGATTGGACTGGACTTCAATAGGGCCACATGACTTGTAGTCTTTGCTGTATAGTTTTGGATCAATGGAAATGTGTTCAGGCAATTTTTTGGCTTACTTTCTAAATTCAAGTAAACTGCAATTACAGTAAATTTTAATCTGGTCTGGTAAAATTCTTGTTGCTATTATCTCATCCTTCTCACAGACTGGCACGGTTCCAATTCAGATTAAGGACTCTTCCTCCAAGCCTTCCTCTTGTACGAATAAAAGAACACAAGACACGACAAGAGATGCAATACTTCAACTAATTCTTCACAAGAATGTATCTCAACCACAGCAACATTTCTAATCATAGTAGGAAATTTTAGGTATTGAGCAATTTATTTGTGCTAAGGTTTTTATATTATTTTTTAAGAATATAAGACCTGGAACACCTTATGCATTTTAAATTGCTTTATTAAAAAAAAAAGATGTAAAATATAACATTTCTGTGTTTCTTAGACTCCTCTTCTGGGGCTGCCAGAGACAGTTGCATACTCACACTTGACAGGACTGAAAGGAACAGGAAGGATGGATTAACATGTTTCACAACTAATTCCTCGTTAAAGGGGTTTTAAAAAGTGTATAAAAACAGTTTATAATAAATGTGTTCTGTGGATCTCTGGTAGTCCACAGAACAATTTCAGGTGTTCTGCAGTGCTGCTTCTAGTGGAATGGCAAAGCATGTATCCATCTGTGATACTGGCAAACCAGCTAACCTGTGTATGACCCATAACAACTTAACAAGAGGAATTACAATTGTATCAGGAGAATTCACTTGCATGTGAATATCAAACAGATGTACTAGACAAGCAATCACTAACCCATTCATTTGTAGTAACAGAAATCAAGGGTAGATGCTAAATGTGTTTGTCTGTGTACCTGTATCCTGTTAGAAGTTTACCATTGTAACCAAATTAGCTTTTAGATTCTAAATATTTTCATGTCTTAATTGCCTTACATTATGTATAAGAATGTGTCCAGTTAATCTTAAGATCAAAGATGTGAGATACTGCAGAAACTAATATTATCTACATTGTCCTCGGCTTATCTATCCCTGTTATGCTGAATGACCGGATGTTGCCTTCTAGTGTAATTAGATTATGGTGTATACCCAGGGAAATGTTAACTTCAAAGTGGTGAGTCAGTGCATGCTCAACAAAGAGGAATCCACAGTCATATGCTGTGCTCAAAGCACTTGACAGCCCGCTTTTTGGGTCTGATCCTGCATCTCTTGTCTGCTGAGCTTTAAACAGGGAAAGTTTAAGCCATGGGACTGAGATCTTCCAAGTAGTTATTTGGAATACCCTGAAAAATGCAAGGAAAGACTAACGGACTCTACATAAGATGCATTTGGATTATAACCTTTTGGGATGAGTCCAGAGAGACTTTTGCAAGCCAGCAGACGCATCCATCACTGCTACAAATCTGATATAAGGACCTTGCAAGCATTTGTAATGTATATAATCTTTTAGCAATTCAATAACTTTCTTCTCTTTTTCTCTCAATAAATCTTTAGTTAGTTTATTAAGGATTGCCTGACAGCGTGACATTTGGGTAAGTTCTGATACTCACATTGACCTGGGGGGTAAATGTCCGATCCTTTGGGATTAGCAGAACTTCACATATGGTGAATTGGGTTTTCAGTAACCTCTAGTTATATTATACCAGCTTGCCTAGATGGGAGCCAAGGGCTGCACTGCCTACAGAGGACTGTGTCTGGCTTCTTGTTAACCAGTGTGATGCTGCAGAAGCTCTTTGATACTGGTTTGGTGACTACAGAACAAACCACCAATTTTGGGGTATTGTACACCCTGTTTCTTGCAGTCTGCCCTGAGTGTGGCACTCTCAGTGTGGCCCATACCAGGCACCCAGTAACACCACCTTCAAACAATTCTCGTTCCTAAAACTTGTAACCCTATCCAGGACCCTATTACAGTTTTTGTGGAATTGGGAGGATGGTGTGTGTGTGTGTCTGTATTAAATGAACTAAAACAAGGGTGGAGGGGAAAAATCAAGTTTCTCCCACTGCTGTGTGGCTGCTTCCTGTCTTTGTTATGCTTGTTTTCTGTAAATTCAGCTGTGATCAAGAAGCAAACTCTTTGCTTCTGTAGTAAAATAGAACTTTTGAGGTGGAGATAGCATTAAAACAGGAGGAAGCTGGTTTGATCTGTCCTGCATTTGGCTTTTATATTACCGTCACTATGTACATTTTGAACAAGATGATCACTATTAGCAGGAAAGATGTACACATTTTCAGAAAATAAGTTATTTTCAAATACATTTCAGCTCACGAGAGAAGAGTTTCTCAGTATGTGAGTTGTCAAACTTCTGCACTGAACGAATAATATTCTTTTAAACTCTTCATAGCATATCACTCAGTACTTATGCAATCAACCGAGAGGTATTGCATCTTACACTTCTCCCCATTGAGCAACTTGTTTGCACTATCATGCAATGCTCTATAGCTATGGTGGCTATGAACCACGTCCCTTGTGTATATGGAAGAAATTTAAAAAACAGCACATCAGTGCTTGTTTATATTTGTATCTACCAACAATACTAGCGCAACACTGATGAAAACCAATGCAGTAAACCCATTTGTTGAATTGTTCTGCTCCAGACTTGTCTCTACTGTGTATCTTAAATCTATTGTTATAACAAGCAAATTTAGGACAGTCTGATCAGGATAGGAATTCTAATGCAGAATGTTCCATTACAGGGATCTCAAAGGTAAGGTCCCCTCTCTTCTAAGGGCATGTCTGTGCTGATGAAAACAAACAAAACCCTGTAGGAAAACCACAAATCCACTGAAGCTGGATCCTGAATATCTTCTCTCAGTATCCATTAGCTTATCAATATGTATCCAAATGCTGCAGGAGGGCAGCTGGGGCAACAGAAAGAAGATGGGCTATACTTCAAATAAGTATTTTAAACATCCAAAACAGTTTTAATTACATAGTCAGATTCATGAAACAACTAAACTCAACAAAATTGAGAACAGATTACAATTTTGGGATTTACCTCACACAAAACGGAAAAATGTGAAAAAAACCCCCACCTGACGAAGGAATTCATTCACCAATTCCCATGTAAAACTAATTTATTTATATTATTAAAATATATAAATTAATACCATCAAAATATATAAAATACTGAAGCATATTAATCCTGCCTTTACTCACACAGTAGTTCCCTATCCTTTACTCAAATCTACCACATCTGAATAACTATTTGAGATTGTTAATCCAGTAGTAAGGATTTCTTTTAATCAATCAGTCTATCTGGGGGAAGTACTGTATGACTGGAGAATAGCTATCATCATACGTAAACTTAAGAAAGGGGACAAAAACAATCCAGGCAATTACAAATCTGTTAGTCTAATCTCAGTAGTAATCAAAACTTTGGAACAAATTATGAAGAATAATTACATCCCTTTTTCTGTTTACCTCCGTGTCTGTAATGTAACATGTGCTCATAAAAGGCAGATCATGCCAACCTAACCTGATTTCCTTCTTTGAGAAAAATAACTGATATTTTTAGATACGGGAAATCAACAGATCTAATATACTTGGATTTCAGTAAAACATTTGACACGATATTGCATGGGAAACTACTAGTTAAATTAGAAAAGATGGGAATAGTACAACAATTGTAAAGTAGATATGGAACTGGCTAATGGACAGAAGGCAATGGGTTGTGCAGAAAGATAACTATCAGATTGGAAGGTTATTAGTGGAATTCCCCAAGAATCAGTTTTGGGACCAATCGTATTCAATATTTTTTATTAATGACCTTGTCACAAAAAGTAGGAGTGTGCTAATGAAATCTGTTGATGATACAAAGTTGGGGGGTACTGGCAATTGGGGAGCACTGGCAATTCAAAGGAGGATCCACATATTATACAGGAATATCTGGATGACCTTGTAGAACAACAGAAATGGGATGAAATTCAATAGTACAAGGTGTAAGATCATGCACTTAGTGTCTATTAATAAGAATTTTTGCTCCAAGCATGGGGCTCATCAGATGGAAGGAAGCAATAGAGAAGAGACCTGGGTGTGTTGTTTGATCACGATAAGCCACCAATGTGATGGGGCTGCAAAAAGGCAAATGCGATCATAGGATGTATCAGGCAAGGCATTTCCAGTAGACACAGAGAAATATTAAAGCCATTGTACATGGCACTGGTAAGAGCTCATTTGGAATACTGTGTACAATTCTTATTACCCATGTTCAAGACAGAAAAATTTAAACTAGAACAGATGCAGAGAAGCACTACCTAGGAAGATCAGGGGAATAGAGGGCCTATCTTATGAGAGGAGATTGCAAGAGCTTGATTTGTTTAACATAGCAAAAAGAAGGCTAAGAGAAGAGATGAATGATTGCTCTCTATAAATACATTGGGGGGGGGGGTGAAAGGGTAAACAGCTATTTAAGCTGAAGGACAATGCTGATACAACAACAAATGGGTATAAAGTGGCCATGAACAAATGCAGGCTGGAAATTAGACGGTTTCTAACCAACAGAGGAACGAGGTTCTGGAACAGCCTCCCAATAGGAGTTGTGGGCACTAACAAATTAATTAGTTTTAAGGGACAGCTGGGATACACCATTTATGAGTGGGATTGTATGATGCGGTGGCTTGCAATGATATGAGGCAGGGCCTGGTAGCCCTGGGGTCCCTTCTGATTTATGTCTTATGTTCTTAAAGGTTACACTTCAAGTGCCTGATGTCAGAATTACTAACAGGTGACTCCAGGTGACATGCTGTGGCCACTGAACGTTGGCAGCACGCACATACACTGAGTTCGAGCCTTGCCCTTGGCAGCTTTCTCTGTCCAGTAGAACCTCAGAGTTATGAACACCTCCGGAATGGAGGCTGTTCATCACTCTGAAACATTCGTAACCCTGAATAAAATGTTACAGTTGTTTTTTCAAAAGTTTACAACTTAACATTGACTTAATACAGCTTTGAAACTTTACTATGCAAAAGAAAAATGCTGCTTTTAACCATCTTAATTGAAATGAAACAAGAACAGAAACAGTTTCCTTACCTCATCTAAGCTTTTTTTGGAAATGTTCCCTTTATGTTTTTAGTAGTTTACGTTTAACAGTACTATACTATATTTTTCTGACTGCGTACTTCCACTTCCAAATGAAGTGTGTGGTGGACCAGGCAGTCCATAACTCTGCTGTTCTACTGTATGTGTTGCTCGCTGCCTGCATGCTGTAGGAGCTCCTTCTGGAAGTTTTAAACTGGAAGTTTTGCTTTCAAGGTAAGAGCTGATATTTCAAAGTGCTCTAAAGTCCTCATGCACACCCACACTTTTTGTTAGAGGTATTGTCAAAGAAAATTACATTAAATAGAAAGATGATGAAAGACTCTAGTAACTAGCAGCAATAGGGCACTCTAATCAAGATGCATGCTGTGCACTAGTTTCCTGAACAATGGGACTGGGTGTAACCAAAAAGCAACTTTTATCAAAGTTGGTATGATCAAAGGGGTTACTGGGCTTCAGGAAACAAACCCGTAACAGGGAGCCCTATTCTAAACATTGGCATACAGTTGATACTGACTAACGTGAAGGATACTGCCATCAGCCAAAACAGTAACCAATGTTTTTACTTTCTAAGAGAATTTATCCAATCTACACAAACCAAAAAGGACAACTATTGTTTCCATCCCTCAAAGTGCTGTCCTTGAGGAAAAAAGGTCCAAAGGAAATGCAAGACACTAGAAAATTTTCAGTCACGTGGCCCTTTCAAAAACTTTTATAGCAGATCTCAATGATAATTTCTCCCCCACAAATTGCCATAAGTGGGGAGGAGGGGAGAGAATCAAGAATTGCTCAAGCTACAAGGAAAATTTTAAAATGATACTCTAAGCTAAAGGAATTTTTCATCTTGACAGAATGAAAATCAAGGTGAAACCTTAACTGTGCTGGCTCTACTCTTCCACTATAATATTGCTGCGCTATATGAGGCCCGGGGTAGAATTAGTAGTCCAAGCTGAGGTCATTTAGTCAAGGGGTTCCTTAGACACAGCTCCCTCCAATAAGGAGCTGCTTTTAATATTCAAATTAATCTAAAACCCCATGTGCATAGTGTGATTGTCTTGAAAATTTTAATGTTAGCTGTGAATGTATTCATACTTTTCCTCACATTTCTAACCCCTGGATTTTTAATTTCACTTTGAAGTAGTATATTTTAGACACCTTATAAATATCTAAGATAGAAACACTGCCTTGAAGGTTTCACATCAGGACTTCCACAGTCACTGCCATTTTGCCATGACAGCTCCTCAATAACAACCTTGGATTTTTTAACAGGTAGAGATATTTGCAATGTAGATTTGTACAATACTCTCACAAGGAATGAACATATATCACAATTTGTGTTATTCAAAAAAAAATTAAAAGTCTCCATTCAGTGCCAGCATCTCTACTCTAAAGATGAGCTAGGTCTAGGATATCCTTCTTTAGATTCTTTACCTCAAAGCTTAAGTGAATAATATCCACAAGCATATGATACAAGAGGTGATGTGTTTATGCAAGTCGATACCTGAGTACTCCTTCCACTTGATCTTTGGTGTAGCCTTTCCCACTTTCACCTGCAGCAGACGCATTGCTGTCCTTTGTACTACTGGGTTTACTTTGATCATTGCCATTTGCTGGCTTTTGGCAGTATGGACCACTCCCAGCAGCACTTCCATTCTTCATAATTGCTTCCAACAAAACTGTAGAGACAATATAACCATAACATCATAATACACATTGCAGATGAAAGAGCCCTATTAGGGTAGGGGCTCTGAAACTTTTTCATTCCGTGGACCACATCTTAAGAGATTGTCTTATGGATCCCCCTCACCTGGTCCACACCCCTTCTATTCACAAACACAAAATTCTTGAAGCAACTGCTTACAATGGAAAGCATTTAGAAATTGCTAAATGGTCGACTCGTGCCCCCAGTCTCCCCTCCTTCTTCTTCTTTTCTAATGTAGCAATGTAGAGTAGTGGAGACAGCTAGGCTGGTTCCTCACTTTCCAGCTGCTTTTACAAGTATTTATCCCCCTCTTTGCAATGAAAGCCCTAAATGCCTGAGTAAGTACCTGGAAATAGAAAGGAGGAATCAGCTCTCCACACACCATCAGCAGTACACAGAGTCTGAGAACTACTGAAATAGGTTCTTTAGTGTTTAGTTTATCTCCTAGGGACCACTGCAGGACTGGCCCAACAACAGATATGGGCTTGGGCTTAATTCTTGGCCCTTTTTCCTGGACCAAGGGTTGGAAGTGCTATACAAGGCAAAGTGCTGAGACGCAAGGAGCAGAAGTGTGTCATGTCACAACAGCAGATTAAGGAATGGTTCTTGGAGGATACAAAGTGAATCTCAGCCCATCTTCTTTGTCTAGAAGGACAGTAATCTTAAGAAAAGCAATATGACAAGAAGGGTTGTCATAAATATAAAGGAAAGGGTAAACCCCTTTGAAATCCCACCTGGCCAGGGGAAAGCTCCTCTCACCTGTAAAGGGTTAAGAAGCTAAAGGTAACCTCGCTGGCACCTGACCAAAATGACCAATGAGGAGACAAGATACTTTCAAAAGCTGGGAGGAGGGAGAGAAACAAAGGGTCTGTGTGTCTGTCTATATTCTGTCTTGACCGGGGATAGACCAGGAATGGAGTCTTAGAACTTTTAGTAAGTAATCTAGCTAGGTACGTGTTAGATTATGATTTCTTTAAATGGCTGAGAAAAGAACTGTGCTGAACAGAATAACTATTTCTGTCTGTGTATCTTTTTTAGTAACTTAAGGTTTTGCCTAGAGGGGTTCTCTATGTTTTGAATCTAATTACCCTGTAAGGTATCTACCATCCTGATTTTACAGGGGGGATTTCTTTATTTCTATTTACTTCTATTTTTATTAAAAGTCTTCTTGTAAGAAAACTGAATGCTTTTTCATTGTTCTCAGATCCAAGGGTTTGGGTCTGTGGTCACCTATATAAATTGGTGAGGCTTTTTATCCACCATTTCCCAGGAAAGGGGGGGTGCAAGTGTTGGGAGGATTGTTCATTGTTCTTAAGATCCAAGGGTCTGGGTCTGTAGTCACCTAGGCAAATTGGTGAGGCTTTTTACCAAACCTTGTCCAGGAAGTGGGGTGCAAGGTTTTGGGAAGTATTTTGGGGGGAAAGACGCGTCCAAACAGCTCTTCCCCAGTAACCAGTATTAGTTTGGTGGTGGTAGCGGCCAATCCAAGGACAACGGGTGGAATATTTTGTACCTTGGGGAAGTTTTGACCTAAGCTGGTAAAGATAAGCTTAGGAGGTTTTTCATGCAGGTCCCCACATCTGTACCCTAGAGTTCAGAGTGGGGGAGGAACCTTGACAAGGGTACATTCTGGACAGTGAGGACATGTGAAAGTAGTATATATCCCCAGAACTCTGAAAGGAATACAAAAGACACCCTTCATTTCCCATAAAGAGGAGGCAATTCACAGAAACAGAGGTCATCGGGCATTGACATTTCTATGGTCCGTTTACAGAGATAGTATATGGAGGGCTTGAAAAATAATAAATCCATTCACCTATTTGCTAGTATTGTAATGAGTAGGAATCTTTCCCTGACTAGTGTGGGGCCATCAATTTCTGCAGAAGAATAAACATTTTTTCTTTATAATAAGTTTCTAACACTTATGGCTGAGATACCGTGCCAAATGTGAACTGAACACAAACCAATGGACTGTTGCCTTTCTAAGTCTGCAAACAGCTCCTTTGTTTCTGCTGCTGATTCGAAATGACAAGCAGGAGCAGAGTGAAAACAACAAGACTGATCGATTTCTCTTCTTACAGAGACAAGGCGGGTGAGGTAGTATCTTTTATTGGACCAACTTCTATTAGTGAGAGAGATGAGCTTTCAAGCTTTTCAAACCTGGACCAGCTTCTGTTGTTGAGAGAGATGAGCTGAAGAGGTTTGTGTTAGCCTGAAAGCTCATCTCTCTCACTAACAGAAGTTGGTCCAATAAAAGATACTACCTCACCCACCTTGTCTCTCTTATATCCTGGGACTGATACAGCTACAGCAATGCTGCATACAATTGCTCTGCTGTAATTCGGAACCTCTGGGCAGGAGTGAAATTCCATAATCATGTGATCTATTATGATCAGTAGCTGTCTCTGTGCCACTGGAGGATCACTTATACCTTGGACTTTAGAAATGCTTTGTGCTGGCAGGGTGGCATAAAGCAGCCACAAAGCAAGGCAGAATCTGGGCCTATGTCTTTTGTAGAAGTCAAGATACCTGACTGTATCTGTAGATACTGCTTGTACTTTTTACTGAAGGAAACAAACCTTTGCTGATCTACATCTAACTTCTCAATTAACTTACTTTTCAAATCTTCCACTGGGAAATTTGAAGAATGTTTGCAGAAATGAAGATGGGAATCTGGAAGAAGCTTGCTAAAATATGGTTTAAGCATAATCTTCAACAGTTAATTCCACTGTATCTTTACATGCCGCAAAGGAGACATACTAATATTGAAGATTCTAATCATTATATCGAATTACAAAGAGGCATACATCACAAAAAAACAAAAAGTGTTAAAGAATGAAGAATTAAACTGCTGTCCTGAATGGTTGCGTTGAAAATTAGCAAATAAATGAACCCATGTGATAAAAAATAGTAATGCACTTCACTTATTCTGAAGGGTGTTGTTTAGATTTAATTATAACCATATTGGACAGCATATCAGAAGTAAAAAATATGAGATTGCATTACAATACCACTTGCCATTAAATCAATGAGAAGTAGGATGATAGGGATTTTAGTGAGAATTATCAAAGCGAGATAAGAGAGGTTCTACTGCAATTGATAAATCTATGTGTTTGTTTTGGAATCCTTTGGGAATAAAGTTCCTATATAAATAAAATATAATTAAATCTTTATAAATTAAATACCATTAGTGACTGAAAGGTGCTAGGATACTACAGTGACGAGACAAGCAAAGACAGAAATGGACCACATCATAGTTCTTATGCCTTTGTCACTTCCAGGCTGGAAAGTTGTAATGCCCTCTATTTAGGGGTATCCTTGAAAGTCACTCTGACTCTTCAGCTACCAAGAACATGGCTGTTCATGTCGAACCTGGGCCGGGCCAACACCAATACAGTTCTGCGTTCCACACTCTGCACTAGCTCCCAATCAATTTACAAGTGAAATTCAGAGTACTGATTATTGTCTGGAGACCTACCCTACAGCTGTCTCCAAAGCTGAACTCTTGACACTAGTGGTAGGGCATACTCATACTGGGCCCTTAAATATCCTTACCTCCTTTTTAAATTCCAACAGAGCTCAAATTTGCCAATTTTTAAGATGCAGTGAAAGATGCATTGTGACTTGTTCCAATTTTGGTTTCATGTAGTCAGTAGATGGGGAGCAACTTTATCCTAACTTAAGGGGCTAATTTAGAGGCCAGAGATATTGAAAAGTCACTTTATAGAACAAGATGGCAGACTACATAGGGAGATATTAAGTTTCATACACTATCAACAACACAATGCTTTATAAATTCTCGAAGAAAAAGTTTCCACTCACTTTTTAAGCTTGTTGGAGTTTTACATCATTAAATAACTCCGTTTTCTCTAAGAGACTGGGAAGAGAGAACTAGAACCCCTAGGGTTAAAAAAAAAAACTAGATAAGTTCATGGTCCAGAAATGGCTATTAGCCAGGATTGGCAGGGATGCAAAACCATGCTTTGAAGCATCCCTAGTCTCTGTTAGCCAGAAGCTGGGAATGGGCGATAGGGGATGGATCACTTGGTGATCTGTTCTGTTCATGCCCTCTGAAGAACCTGGCATTGGCAGGATATTGCCAGGATACTGGGCTAGATAGATCATTGGTCTGACCCAGTATGGCCATCCTTATGTTCTTAAAACCTTCTCTACAGCCTTCTTGTAAAGTCTGCCACAACACACAGTGGTGGTTTGGATGACCTAGTGGTAAAAAACATCTAAGGTCTGTCTACACTAGCATTTTCATCATTACCACCACAGAGGGAGCTGCACTAGTGTGACAGCGGGAAATCTCCTAAAAAACAGTAGTGTAGACATACTAAAAAGCCCCCAAAACACTTTGCAATAGTTTCCAGATCTTCTAAGATTCTAGAGCATCCACTTGATGGTCCAAATATAATATAGAATATAAATAGTATATTCCATACAAAAAAAAAAACCCTTCCAAAGAACATTATTAAGGTTTCAAATCAAGCACTCGCGTTAGGAAGAGCCAGAACTAATGTTGCCCATGAAACCTTAATTTTGCCTGCTTGCGTATGTGTGCATTAGCTTTAAATTACGTGATAACATACTATTTTTCCCACAGGACCCCTGCTTCATTCACTGGAAAGATGATGGTACACTTATAATGAGGCAGCTATTCCATATTTCCTTTTATCCTCATCATTCAATATGTGATTCCATTCCTTATTACTGCACATCACCCAAATCCTGACCTGAATATAATTTTTTTTTAAATTTTACTCAAAGGCTTATCTATTGCACTCATCACTGTAATAGCACCTCACAATTTTTTTTCAACACCTTGGTGAGGTAGAGAGATATTATCCTTATTTTATAGATAGGAAACAAGCACAGAGTGATTAAAACCTAAATTTGGAAGAGCCCACTAATTTTTGAGTACCCAGTTTAAGACACTTAGGGTATGTCTACACTGCAATCTAAGCCTGCTATTGTGCTAACCCAGGACTTGGACCCAGGACCTTACAGGGCTGGAGGGTTTGAGCTTCTGTCAAGCCAGGGCTGGAGAGTCTGAGCCCTCAGACTTTGCAGTGTAGATACAGCCTAGCTTGACTGAGGTCCCAAGAGTCATCTGGAAGTATCACACAATTCCCTGGGACAACTTCCTTAGCTCTCTAACCCAACATTCTGCAATCCACTCTACTGAAAATGGAAACCACGCCCCCCTTTGCAAAGCAGCAACTCAGGTCAGCATTAACCCATTTTCTTCTGATTAGAGATCTGCAAGCACATTATGAGAGAGCCTTCTGGGGTTTGCAATGGAGAGTGAACTAATCAAGCCTTTTGTAAAGTGATCTGCTTCTTAATCTGCAGGACAGCAGTAAAGTCTTCCCAAAGTGCACCACAGTCCGCGCACTACCCCTCTCTGCAGGCACCGCCCCCGCAGCTCTCATTGGCCAGTTTGGTTCCCACCCAATGGGAGCTGTGGGGGTGGTGCTTGCAGGCAAGAGCAGCGCGCAGAGACCCCCTTCCTTCCCTCCCTCCTTCCCTCCCCGCAGGGCCGCACTGGCCGCTTCCGGGAGCTGCACGGGGCCAGGGCAGGCAAAGAGCTTGCCTTAGCGGCAGCCCTGCTGCACCACCAGAGATTGCAATGGTGACCACTGCCATAGGGACTATGAAATGTACAAAATTATTAACTCTAGTCAGTGTAAGAGGCAAGACTGAAACTCAGTCTCCTGGCTTCCAGTCCAATATTCCTTTTTATAGACAAAGGGTATTTTCATGAAGGCCATCCAACTAAGCCCTGGCAAGTGTTTTGGATTATCACAGGCTTTTGGTAGTACTTAAGACATACAGGCAAAGTGGAAGAGGTGAAAAGCAATTCTGCATAGGACTCTGGGATAAGGAGGCAATGGATTTCCCCTGTCCTAATGATCCCTAATATATCTATCTTTTATTCCAGAAGAAGCAACCTACTGTAATTTTAAAAAACAACAACAGATGCTGTGAGTCCTTACTTTTTGCTTGCTCACAAAATTTAACAGGCACAGGAGGAGGGAACGTGTTTGGTAAATATATACTTGATATTAAGGTAAGAACCTGGAGCACTTAGAGCTGATATTTTTGGAGCATCACCCTAGAGAGCATCACCTTTAATTTGAAATATACTATGCTGCAGTATTTAATTGTGTGTGGAAATCTTCATTTCTGTGAAAAGAATAAAAAGAAACTTACTTATCCTTTGACGAAAATAAAGGGAATTTCAGCGGAGACTGGAAACTCAACAAGTCACTGCATGCACTAATATCTAGAATAAACTTCTGGCATAGCATGACTAGAAGACCTTAAGACCCTGTCTACAGCCACTTTACAGCACTGAAACTTTCTCACTCAGGGGTGTGAAAAAACACCCCCCTTGAGGGATGCAAGTTTCAGCGCTGTAAAACAGCAGTGTAGACAGTGCTCCCAGCGTTGGGAGCTACTCCCCTCATGGGGGTGGTTTTTTTACAGTGCTGGGAGACCTCTTTACACAGCCACGTTAAAACGCTGCTGTAGCAGCGCTTTACCGTTGGTAGTGAAGACATACCCTTAGAGAGGCAATGACCATGCCGATAATAAAATTTAAAACCATGCTATTGTTTCCTCTAAAGAACCATCTTTTAAACAATTGCTAGAAAGACAGACGCTGTAATATGAAAAATCATTAGTAACTGGCCAAAGACTAGTGCAGACCCAGTTCACAATGGAATAGAACAACTTGTACTAGTGCAGTGAATCATGGTGTAAAGCACGTCCGCAGTAATGGTTTGGCCCAATTCAGCCATGTTGGTGGCTAAAAGTGCAAACAATAACCCACAATAAATTCTTTCAACAGGAGAATTAGGGATGTAAATATCGTTTAAAAAGTTAACTGCTTAAATTATTAAAAATGTGTCCTTTAGAACAGGGGTTCTCAACCTTTTTCTTTCTGAGGCCCCCCCAACATGCTATCAAAACTCTATGGCCCACCTGTGCCACAACACACTGTTTTTCTGCATATAAAAGCCAGAGCTGGCATTAGGGGGAAGGAAGCAGGGCAACTACATGGGGCCCTACACCATGGAGGGCCCCATGAAGCTAAGCTGCTCAGGCTTTGGCTTCAGCCCCAGGTGGTGGGGTCAGGGCAGCGTGGGCTTTCTGCCCTGGGTTCTAAAAAGTCTAATGCCAGTCCTCTTTGGCGGACCCCCTGAAACCTGCTCGTGGACCCCCAGGGGGCCTCAGACCCCTGATTGAGAACTGCTGACTTAAACGGTTAACAGATCAAGCGGCTGGGGCCACTCCAGCCAACGCAGGGACCCTGGGACTGGCCAGCCAGCTCGGGGTTAACGGTTAAGGTGGGTTAACTGATAAAACTAATGCTTACCGGTTAACTTTTTACATCCCTAAAGAGAGCATGGTAAATCAAAGTCATGTTCCTTCCAACTGTTTTAGCTAAATGTTTTAGTGAAGTGCTTCTCTGAATTTCAACTAGCTCTTCAAGCCTTTTAGAGTATGTCTACACAACAACTAGGCACCGGCAGCTGGCACAGGCCACATCTAGCTGCTGTGTAAAAATACTCTTTGGCAACTTGTATGAAATAGCAGTCTATGACCCAGTGTAGTAGAACAAAGCTGAACTTGTGCTTGTCTAGGGCTGACTTCAATTCCTGATTCCAGTCAAAGGATTCTCTTCCCAACTCCACTTTCTCCTTTTAAACATCCGAACAGTCAATCTCCCAACAGTTAAACCTCTTACTATTTGGTTTCCCTGTTACATGTCTAGAGCCAGACCAGTCTGAATACTGCTGAACAAAAAAGCTAATCATTTTGGGTTCACTTCTAGGGCCCTCGCCTTGGCCTGCATCTGTATACACACGTGCTCTACGCACATGTGAAATTTTCTGTGCACATCACTTGAAGTCCGAGGTGAGCGATTTCACAGGCACAAAGTCCACTGACGTGTTCGGCTCACCAGGGTACGTCTGTGTTCATGGGGCACAGGCACAGCCACAAAGAGGCCACACTGGGTGAAGGTGGCCCAGAGATCACTAGTGTCTCCCCTCCGGCGGTCAGGCCCTACCCAAGGCCGCCCAGGGGCGTTATGTTTGGCAAACCTAGAGGAGAGGGGGCAACAAACAGGCGGGATGGGGCCTCAGAGACCACCTAGGCCGAGGAGAGCTAGTCTGGGCTTTTGCCCAGGGCTGGGGGGCGCGGCCCTCGCGGGTGGCAGCCGGGCGCCGGTGGGTGCGGCCCAAAGAGAGGGGTCGCGGGGCGGTCAGCCGGGGAGGGGGTCCGGGCCTCACCTCGGGCGGTCTCGGTCGGGTAGAGCTTCTGGGCCTTGTGGAGGAAGCGCAGCGCCCGCTCGCGGTTGGCGGCCTCCAGCGCCTCCCGGGCGATCTCGATGCATTTCTCGGCCTCGTCCCGGTTCCCCTCCATGGGCTTCTCCTTGCGCCGCCTCCGCCCGGCGCAGCGCAGAGAGAAGGGGCCTGAAGCCAGAGCGGAGCCGAGCTGGGGGGGAGGGGAAGGGGGTCGGGCTCTTCCTCACTCCGCACGAGCCATCCCGGCGCGCCGCATCCTCCCCGCCGCTACGGCAACACCCGCGCGCGGCTCCGACCGGCCGAGCCGCCGGCTGCTTCCGGGCCAAACTGCGCGACGGCGGTGAGCGGGCGCTGTGGGCGCGCGTGCGCACTGCGCCGCCAGACGCAGCCCGGGGCTGGGGCTGGGGCTGGCGGAGCGTGTCCCGTGAACCCCTCCCTGCCCGGGTGCATCCTGCTGCCTCCCGCTCCAGCGGGCCTACTAGTGAAATCACGCAGGGACACTCCCCCGGCGGTAGCGTGGTGAGCAATGGGCAGACGGCCGACAGGAGGGGCCCCTGGTGGCAGGAGTAGAGAGGGGGATAAGCGTCTCTAACCGGGGTGGCATGCTCTGACAGTGCCCCATGAACTCGCAGGGCGCTGGATCAGAGGCAGCACTTGCCTGCGAAGGCAACAACTTGTACCGCCTCCATGGCGAATACCTCCTAAACAAACCACAGTGAGAGCTAAGGACGATGGCAAGCTGCAGTCGTGGGGTGTTGTAAAGCCCAGGCAGAGACTAGTCACTAAATCTCGTTTAAGTGTTTGATGACCGCACTCCTGCCCAGCGAGTGCCACCATTTACAAGAGACTATGACCAACCCCCATCATGTATATAAAGGTTAACAGTAATTATGGAAACCTTTCAGATGGCTTGGGCTGTTTTCCTAGCAACAGAATTATTTTCTAACTAGAAAGTACTTCATTTCCCTCCATTCTTTAGATTTGGGGAAAAGGGGCACGCAGCAGTTCTTTAAAAGTGTAAGGGAGACATCCTTTAACCTTAAACTGTTCTTTCCTTCTTCCTCCCCTGAAATCATTCACTTGATGCTACACTCTATGCATGTAGAAGAGTAACTTACAAAAGTGATTCACCTCATTTTAAAATAATGAGGTACTTGGTTGTAATTTAGTAGGTATCTAGTCAAATTCAAGAATTGGGTCAAACTATTTTAGTGTAGCAGCTAGAATATGCTACAGGAGTTAGAAGTTGCCCTAAGGTTATAGTGGCAGATTATACTCACAAAGCAGAATCAGGTCTTTATCCTATAGGCTCAAGTGACCTGCTCAGTCCTAGGAAACTGATCCTCTGCTGAATGCTACTTATGTCCTAGGAGAGAGAATAGAGTATTTTGCAGCAGCACTAGAAGTGCTGTAAAATTTGCTCTCCAGAATTCATCTTAACTTCCACTGCTGCATCTGCAGGGGTTCATACCACAAACCTGCTGCAATTTCACTTGTGATGGCAACAGAGACCCTACTGAGAACAAGGTTCCTGTACTCCGTAATTGATCATTTTCACCTGTATGAGCAAGCTCAGAGGATACTTAGAGGCATCATTTGTTATTTGCTGATGTTAACATAAGTTCATAAAAGTGAAAACAAGCCTTAGAAATCTTTACTCACTTGGGGCAGTCTAGCACAAGGTTACTTATTTTAAATGCTGAATATTTTATAGGCTTTGGGGCCATTTATACAGGCCAGTACTGAAGATAGTAAGCAGAGGGAGCACCCTGGAATACAGATTAATTCCCCCCCCAAATCAGTATGTGGCATGGAGCTTGATATGGCCCATTAAACAGCTTTAAGTTTACAATCTACATTGCTTGATTAGTTACAGATCATAAGGGGTCACTAAGTATGATCAGAATTGAAGCAGAATGATATTCTGCCAACAGAGCTTGCTTGAATCAAATTAAGGCATTTTACAATTTATAGCAGAACATACATTTCCTTGGTCAATAACTGAGTCTGATCAGTCTTAAGAGCTGCTATCAAAAAGCATAGCAATAGCGAATACACAGACTAGTATCGATATAACATTTATTGAATACTTCCACTCAAGTGGATTAAGAGTCTGTACAAAACCAAACATTTCCTTTAACTTCTGCTTCACATTAAAATCAAACAGATCTAAAACAGTCAGCTCAATCAAAAACCCCTACAGATACAACAGCTTCTTTGAAGCCATGGTAACACTTAAATATGGTTAAGACTTCAATGCAGAAATTTGGTTTGTTAGAATGCTCAGTGAGCTTTAGCTTCTCAGAGTTATAAAAGGCAAAACTGTGTTTCACAGATACAGTCCACTGGAATCACCAACACTGGACAACTGTTTAGTAGTAAGAGTCCTGAGATAACAAGGGATACTGGTATCCTTTAGACAGTTTTCTGTTGTCCTTTCTTTCCAATAAGAGATTTGTGGATATGTGGTATTACACCTAAGATAAAAAAACACAAGATTAAGGCAAGGTTGAAGTTAATTTTCCCTGTATCATTTGAAACAGACAGTATTCTATTTGTGTATTACGATGTTTGTAAAAAGCAATCAGCAGCAAGAAACCTATTTGACTAAGTTTAGTTCGAATAGTATTGAGTTGCAGCTACATACCACCACCAGCAATTGTTGCTTTAATGAGAGAGTCCAATTCTTCATCTCCTCTTATTGCAAGCTGCAAGTGACGGGGAGTGATACGCTTCACTTTTAAGTCTTTGGATGCATTTCCTGCCAGCTCAAGAACCTGCAGACAAAAGCACTTTCAGTGCCTACCCATCATGCACAGATTACAATAGTTAGACATTTCCGAAACAATATATGGCAGGCACCGTAGGCTAGGCTACACAGAGTGTCATCAGGGCCTTGTGTAACTACATTCTGTAGCATGCACCATTAAGTTGGGTTTACTGATTGCCTTGTGAGATTCTCTTGTGGAAGGGACAAGAATGAAGAGTGACAGCTTATAGTTGAAGATACTCATTCTGCAACAAAAATGCAGAGTTCTGTGGCATCTTGGGAAAAAATGGCAAGTCCCACAATTTCAGTCAGGGAGTCCATGCCCCTCCATGTGACATGACTGGGGTAGCTCACATCTTAAAGCCAGTTTCAGGTCCGCTGATGAGGCCTTGTCTACATTTTAAATGCTACAGCAACACAGCTACTGTGCTGTCACCGCAGCATTTCAAGTGTAGACATTATCTACACAAACAGGAGGGGTTCTCCCATCAGCATAGGTAATCCACCTCCTGGAGAAGCAGCAGCTAGATCAACAGACGACCTCTTTCACTGACCTAGCATTAAGCCAATCTATTCTGTGGTGTACATAACTACACTCCTCAGGGGTGTGGATTCTTCACACCCTTGAGCAATGTAGCTGTCTCAACCTAACTTTTTAGTAGAGACCAGGCCTCAGGGACATTAGTTTACATTTTTGCTAACTAAAGTGAATTTGTAAAACAAAAGATTGAAGCAGAGGTTCTAGAGCACAACTCTACAACAAATTCCATGATCACAGAATACAAGCAGCCCTGGTCATTATGCAGCTCCAGCAGTGTCAGCTGTCTTCCACATCTCCCCATCATCAACTTCACCTCAGCTGTCAGGTACTCCAGGATGGCAGCACTGTATACAGCAGCTGTGGCCCCCACACGTCCATGACTGGTAGTCCTAGATTTCAAATGTCGGTGGATGCGGCCAACAGGGAACTGCAAGAGATCAGAATAGATAAGACTATGTTGCAGACATCACTGCAGTAAGAGTGCCTGTAAAGCTGCAATCCTTACACCTCTTATGTATAACATCCAGGCAGGGAAAAAACAAAGAAGACCAAGCTGATGTTGGATATATGGCATAAGTATGTCTGCATTCAAGATAGCAGTTTGAGAGTACTTCTAGCAGGACCTCCATCCCATCTGAGATTACACTGGCATGGCTATCCCATCACCCTCTGTATAATGACGTCTGTGGCGGCTGCTGCTATTTATAGCATACTTTCAGTCCCCCCTCCCCAGCAAAACTTGCTGGAGGCCTGTCTCAGCCAAACCCAGTCATCTGAGGGGTAAGAGTCAGCCTCTCACAAAATAGAGATTAGATTACATAATTAGATTTAAACAAGGACACTAGAGGTTCTGCCCAGAAAGCATAAAAACTTGGCATTCTTGTCTCAAGATGAGGAAAAGGAGCTGAAGTTAATCATGTAATCACATGTGAGGAGCTGGGGCTTTTAAAATAAACCACCAGATATCACAAGATTTGCAATAAAAGGCACGTTCCCTTCCAATTCTGGAGGGCCCTCAAGCAAACCCCTCCCACTTCGGGGCGGGTGTGCTGTAAGCTGACAATTAGTCCAGTCCTCACCTGCAGACCGGCTCTCTGTGATCGGGACACTGCCTTCGTCTTGGTCTTTCCAGAGTCTTTCCCAGCTTTACCGCCAGCCTAACGCAAAGAGAGACTGTGAGCAGCAGCAGCACACGCCACAAGCAGGGTGGAAGGCAGCCGGCGCCCTACGTGCGAGCGGAAGACGCGCCCCGCGCCCACCCCGCGCATGCGCCTCCAACCTCTAGCCAGCGCCAATGCGCGCGCGAGCCTTACTCCTCCACACTTGGCGACACGAACGGCTTTTCGAGCGCATGCGCGCCAACCACTCTCCCTCCCCACCCCCGGCGGCGGCACTAGTGCGCGTGCACCACCCTCTCTCTCTCCCCCCCCCCCACGCGACAGGTTTAGCATTAACTAGCACCTCCCACTCGTACAACCGCTACCACCCACTCGTTAGCCTCTTGTGCGTCTACCCCCACCCCCCCGCCACCGCTCGTTCACCTCAGCTTCTACCATTGCCGCCCCAAGGCGACGCAGCCGCACGCCCTACCGAGGCCGGTTTCCGCGGCTCCCTTACCATTATGAGCTTTGTTGCAGGTCCACACGGGGTGGGGTAGGAGAGAGCGAGCGTCCCACACACACCGAGCGCACCCAACTACACCACCACTCCTGCACCCGCCGCGATTCAAACTGCGCCCGCTCCCGCCTTCCGCGAGCGCTTTATAACCGCCCAACGTGCCCACATCCGGGAACCCGGATCCCACGACTAGCCAATCACCGCAGAGTGGAGAGGGGGCCGTAGCCGAGGCGCCAGGACCAATCATATGCCCGCGATGGAGAGGGGCTGGCAGTGTTGATTGACTGACAGGAGCGGGCAACCCGCTACTCCATTCCTCCATGGAGACTCCGCCCACACTTAAAGTGACGTCACCCTTCCAGGCTCTCGGGTGTGGTGGGTGCGCGGTTCATGTTGTTCCATCAACACCCGTTCCTGGGGGAAGCTGGGGCCCCTGGCCAGTGCCTGCCTCCAGCTATCTCCACCCCCCCCCCCCCCACGGGCTTATCTCAG